CACTGTCTCATGCACGATCCGTTTCAGGGCATCGAACCATGCAAGGAGCAAGTAGCAGAAACATAACAAAGCAAGTAGTGGCCACTCTGCGTGACGAAGTCAGTCAACTTGTCGGACATCCGCTTCAGGTTAGTTCACATCATATCCCCCGTTTGTGTGTGTTGATTTCTTGCTATCTGAACACCTGAAAATACCCGTGAACCATTGGTTAGCCTTTTGTCTTCATAGCTTATTCCATCAATCCATCCACAGAGTCACTGAAGACATTATATGAGGGTTATTGATTTGGCTATAGTGAATTTCGTCGTGTGCCGAACAAATGAATTATGAACTGGAAAACCAGCTACAGTGGCTTTACCTGGACGAGCCTTAATAGAAGATTGTGTCAACAGAGCTTTAAGCTTTAAGTTTTAAGCAGTGGAATGTCCTTACTTTGGTAATCAACAAATTCCTTTATTCTTTAATTTATTTTTATCGAACATGTAATTGCGCACACAATTTCTACGGAGAGTGGAGGCGACCAATCAAATAGCTGCTGTGCGAAATAAAGAAATGGGGAGACGTAAGGCTACAGGTGTACGGTTTTACCACTATCTCCGGGGTAAAAAGACAATGAGCAATATTGATTAAAGGTCACCTCCAGAGTCGTGAATACGCTCCTAGGTACATTAGGTATGCGACCAATTTGGTGAGCAATTGAGTGAGCACTTTAGTGAGTCAGTGAGTAAGTAAGTGCTAACTGTATTCGATGTTAGCTCCGCCGTTAGTTCTGTCACTTGGATTTCTTGTTGGCCGCAAATAGAATTTGGTTGCAATGATCTAATACTAATACATTCTATTGCCTTGTTTCACCATGCTCCTCCCTCGCAGGAAGCCCCTTAAACTCAACTATTCTGTTATGATTTACGGGACAGGAAAGTCACTGTTATAAATTACGAAACTTAAAAATCAGGTAAATCAACTGCAGTCAGAATGGCCTAATCTATTGGTTCGGTACCGCGGCAGGTGAAGTAGTATATAATACTGTGATTTATACCTGAATGTTGTGCTCCAAGCACAGTAATATTGCCATCTTACTTTCACAGTTCTCTGTATATCTCTGGACCATCTTTGAGTAGCTGCAGGCACCTCACCAACCCGCACCCACCGCCCCGTCAACCCTCTCGAAAGGAAAAATGGATTCATTACTCTATGTTCGATGAAGTAAAGGATGTTAAAATGTGCGTGATTATAAATAGTGTCAATTTGCTGAAAATTAAGCTTCTAATAGAAAACGTTTTCCAACAGACAACCTGCGCTACAATATCCATTAACTTTGTTTCATTATCCATTAGCGATCCTTGCTTTCCCATATTCTCCGGTATTAGTTTAAGTTGGTTTGTGTCTTTATCCCTTGGTTTGCAAAGTAATCATCATCAAACTTTTGTGATAGATCCAGAGACGCGAATCAACAACTGATAGAGACAATAACTTCAGGGTTGCAAGTTGATAACTCATGTGACTAGAAGAGTGCTTACCTATTAAGTGACAACAACCGTGAAACCAATGGTGTGTTTCTAAAGAAATTTTTTTTCAATTAATCGAATACCACTTATTTCATGGTATCCGATAACTACAGTTTGTATACGGTTGATCATGAAACTGGCTGACTCACTATTGAATTTCATTGCTCATAGCTCGAACAGCTCTTCAGCGTTTTTGTGTGTGTTGAATCGACTGAAATTTCATCCCACACTCTTGAATAAAACCTGATGCTTCGATCATTAAGAAGAGACTATTAACTTACATACAAAACCTTCCTCAGTCTATACAGTATATTTGCTCAACTTAGCACATGGGATCGTGTTTGCCGTGTCGTAAACTGTCCAATATTCATAAGATTCTAGGGCCAAAATAATTGGAAACACAATCTGTCTTCATTCACAGCAATCTTCACATCACTTCCAGGTAGAATATTACCAACATTCGCACTCTCAATTTGCTCCTAATTCAGTACTCAAATATCCCAATTATGAGGCTCATCCATGGCAATTCATGAATAATGCTATTAGTTCCTTACCGAATCCGTAATGATGGTTTCGCCGAAGAGTGTTTTGAAACGTGATCATCTGATTTGGAGTTATTCCTTCCACGTAATTTAGCTATCATCCAGCAAGAAATCAACCCTAATTATTTGAATTAGATTATTCAAAAAGATATTAACGTAGTTTAGAGTATCAAGCTTGGATTAGCCCATTCGATTGTTCAGAAGCACCAGGCACTCTTGATGGTTCTCGGTGTGGGTTTCACTCCTTGGGAGATCGCTAATTCCCCACTGTTTGTACGCATTTAAACGCGATGGAAATGTTTGTGATAACCAACAAAGAGCACGGGACAGTTGTTTCGTCCTGTTTGGGACTCGTAGTTCGTTCATGAAGTCCTATTCTCGTGCGACAGTTTTTTTTTCGTGTGGACAGATGAATGTGCACTGTTTAACGTAGTTCGGCCGTAGTCAATCCGGTGATACCTGATTACACAATAAACTCTCTCTGTATGCATTGTCGGAAGGTCTACTGTATGTTGTTTTATTATATTCTGATACTTTGGTTTATTCCCCAAGTGAAAAATTATCATTTTTGTTTCACATCTTACATGATTCCTTTTTCTATTGATAAAAATGAATTGGTTTGCTATAGTAAAATGTTAAAATGTTATGATCACAATGCTGATTTATAGTGACGTCAAACTCTGGGCAATATTCGTTGATTCGCAAACGAAATGAAAGTATCTCAATTAAAAGTAAATGGTTTATTTGGATGGGTGAAGTTGTGTTGTATACTACATTCGGTAATATTCTTTATATAATGCATGCTCAACAAAGAGCGGTATTCTAAAACCCTAGAGCAATAATCCGTGTGGTCTATCTATTGACATTGTGGTAATAGGTAGTAGATTTCACGCAGTCAGCTGACGTTTGAATGGTGTGGAGCAATCTTGGACCTCCACCCCATTGACGTCATTCTATCTGAATCCGACAAATTGCATTGCATCCAGTTGGTTGGTTTTCACCATGTGGTTCAATTCACATGTGTTGGGTTTTGTTTTTTTATTTGTAAATTTCCTCTGCACTAACAAGACAATTTGATAACATCAAAATAAGTTGTAAAAACGCCCTATACATCCTCTACTTCTATTAACTTTTTCTTTGTTTACCACAAACATGTACACAAACAGGATCAGGATGACGCCTTGAGCATAAACTCAGACGACGACCTTGAATCAGTTGCGTACGCCGAACGTGAAGGAGTGGAGGATCGTTATGCGCAAGAATTATTGGACAAAGTATGTGAAAGCTTGAATATACAATCACCTCAGAATGTGATCCTGATGCATCATGTACCTGAGGAATCCCTTATCAGTGAAAACAAAAAGAAAATCTATAAGCTTCTATATATACCGGTACTTTACCTTGATTTTCCTTGTATCAGCTCAGGAAACTTCGTTTGTGCCACAAATGCAGCAGTATATGAGGAACTAGGCATTAATTAACCAGTTCACGTAAAAGTAGAAAAGGTTTGTGAAAGGTTTTGTCAATCGTTCACCGAAACCCTCTTTTCAGTACACGGGACGCCTCTCGATCAGTGAAGGGACTGAATCCGCTGTCTCAGATTGACGACCCTTCATTCTCTTCCTATTGAACTGTCGGGCATTCAAGACCCCAGCGTATGCAGACGGAATAAGATTGATGTACGCAGACCGAATCAGATTAATACTCCTTTAGTCCTGAATTATGTATTGGTTTGGAGAAAGTTACTTAATTTTCTTTTCACCCACCATATGTCTCAGTGTTCTCCTTCATACGTCTGCGAATTGAATAATACCGCGATAACTAAATGAATTTGTGAGTCATAAGGCAGATTTTAAACAATCCCAAAAATCTCGGTGAGAACACAGTGACCAACAGTGTTGATGTAAATGTCTCATTATCATGCCTATGAGTACTCAGCACCGGTTGCGCATCATTGTTCCGATCGACAAACCCTATGTGATTGCAGGAATGACGTTTGAGTACAAAATGGTT